CGGATAACACTAACACTAACGGCCTCGTTCTCCCAATCAATGCTCCTCCTCGTCTAGAGCAATATTTCTTCTGCTCAAAGTAGGAACCTCGATCACTAGCCGCTAACACATCAGCTCGATCCTTATCAAATGAAATCGAATCCTTTTTCCTCTTTGAAAGTTTCTTCTCAAACTCATTAATAATTCATCAAATTAAAACAAAGAAAATCATAAGCGTGAAGGAGGTTTGGATACCAGGTCTTAATTAGCATAGATTTTGACGATTTTACTTCTCCATTTACTCCTTAGTTTTTGTTTCGATTGAGAAGATATATCAAACACTCGAGACAGTGTTTCATCGGATATTCAAACACCTCCAATTTCGTCAAAAATACTCCGCTGCGCGTCGTATTTTCAACTCTCTTCTTGGTGTTTGGATATCCCGATGAAACACTGTTTCTCGTGTTTGACATATTACTTCGCACTAGCAAAAGGACAAGCTAGGACTCTTGCCTTTTTTCTTCGACTACATGGAATAGATACAAGTTTTTAAATTTTTGTCTACAAATTAGAAAATTCTTGAAGCAGCTCACAAACGTGTGAAAATCGCACAACACCACGTCTGTCACGTGATCTTTTAATGCAAATTAACTCTCGTGTTGACAACGTGTTGACAGTTATCAATTAGAGATAATTAATGGAAAGAAACAATTTTCGTTAATAACTTTGCTTACATTCAATCTTTTTTCATAGAATTTTTTTAAAATAAAAGATTGCTATAAGATCTAGAAAAGATTGCTGTAAGATCTATCTAAAAAGGCGGAAAACAACTTTTTTGAAAAATGATCAAATTTGGGGTACACTGAGACCTTAATTCAATTTCTCCCTGACCAATGAACTCGTTCGTAATTTGCCGATGTAACTTCATTTTTTCCTTAAAATAGTGATATAATTGACTCTCTGAATGTTAATCGTCACTCATCGTCTTGTATCACAACGATTTTAAATGTAAATAAAGGAAATATGGTCTAGATTTGGATAACCTTTTGTGTTTTTTCTTTTCCTAATTTGCATAATCCGTAATCGTAATCAGCCCGTGGGCATTACAGGAGAATAATGCCCTGTCGTTAAGTTGCACTTAGCCAATCAGAGCGCGCGTTATACTGGATTCAAACACAAGCCATATAATAATAAATAATTAAGAAAGGTACCTTCGGAACACCTATAAATAGAAAAATCTCGAGCCAGAATCTGGCAAAGGCTATTGAATTCAAAAAGAAAGTAGTGGCAGCAACATTTTTTTCAGAGATACTTAGCATCAATGTCGGCTTAACCAAAAATGCTGTTGTTAGCACTGTTTGAAAACAAAGAAAAAATGGAAAAAAGTTCTTACCAAGAGTCCTTCAGAATTTACCTTTTCATGTACAAAAGCTAAAATTTATATCTTAAGATGCCAAATCTTCGTAGCTGAAAGACTCGAATCAAACGACTTAAAAAATTGACGTCAGTTTTCATGCGTCTGTCCTGTTATTGATCATGAATTTCATCATAACAAGGGCATTGTGAAAGGAGCTGTGGATCCACGAGGAGATAGTCGAGTGGATCCGCAGACTAACAAATTGTCAAATTGTCCGCTTTCGTTCCTTGACGCATCGCATAAATTATAAATTCATGTGTCTGTCCGCTTATTGACAATAAAAACTTGTCAATGAGCGCGCGAGAATTTCTGCAGTTATCGTAAAAACGTTTGCATTTACAGAGAATGTTTCAGATACCCAGTACCATCTTCAGTTGAAGGATGTTTACAAGGGAGTGACTTTATATGAAGTAAGAAACAAGTACGCGATAATTGCAAAATGTAGAATAATGGTTACAAAACTGGGAAAATAAAAAGGTGCAAGTACAAGTTTGTGAAAAATGTTGAACACTAAAAGTAATTAAAGTAAGAGTGTTAATTAAGGACGTTCGCGCGAAAATGTTCTAACATTGATTTTTTTTCTGAAAATTTTACCACTGAAAGATGATCAGTTAGTGATGTCAGAAATGTAAAAAAATGGGGGTCACCGACCTCGTTTTGGAGAGAACATGCCCGGAAGAACACCTAAATCTGAGTAAATCGGGCTTCGTTATGGAAGAAGGACACAGCGGCTGCAAGTCCCAAAATGGAGGGAAAGGAAGATTTTCCAAAATTTAAGGTGGCTCTGAAATCCCTTCGCAGAATTTTTTTAAACTTTGCAAAAAGTTCCATCTTATCATGTTGATTACAATTCGATAATAAAACATGGGGTCACCGAGCTCATTTTTGAGTCATAAGCGCTTAAAGCTAAAATTAAGGGTGTTTTTAGCAGGTCATATTGTTACTATGGTAACCTATTGTGCCTCAAAACTAACAGCAACTTGTTCACCGATGATTGGCCAGTTTGTTGATATTATGATTTTGGCATCAACTGGTATAGAGTGGTTATAATGACCCATCAAACTGTAAGCCTTGGAAAGTAGTGGAAACTGTTTCCAGCCCCCTTAAACTAACATGTTTCAGTTGCTTATTAAGTGCAGGTCGTTCCCATTCAACATGAAGGGCTTCTTTGATCTTAAGTTAAAACCTGGTAAGAGCCGATTCCAAAATGCAAAAACAATTAAAAGAGCCTAGGTTCTTACACAACTCAGAACCCTAAAGATGTTTCTAGACATGGGAATTGAGATCTGAGATTAAGCGCTTCCTAAGTTAGTAGTCCTGGTGCCAAAATGTCTAGCGGTTTCACCGACATAACACTGAGGCATGACATTCTGCCCGTGTAGATTTGGGGCAATGGACTCGCTCCTGAATATATGCGATCCATGTTTATATACTGTGACACCGTATACTCCCTGAGAGACGCCGAGGGCAAACTAAATATTCCAAAGCCCCGCACAAACTACTTCAAAAATAGCTTTAGCTATACTGGTGCGGTGCTTTGGAATAGTCTGCCAGCTGGGTTACGGCAAGCAAAAACACTAGAAAGCTTCAAAGCCGGGCTGCGGTAGTCGGGTCATTTTACTACAATTAGTTATAGTTTTTAGATTAGTAATGCACGGCTCTCGTGGAAAGCAGGGTTTTATATTTTATATTTGTAAATAAGTAAAGTAGTAATATATAAAATTGTTTGTAATTTTAAATTTTAAATTTTAATTCATTATTATAGATATGCCTGATGAGACAACCGTGGATAAATAAAGTATTCTTCTTCTTCTTCTTCTTCTTCTAAACACAAAATACACGGAATCCAGAAACAGTCCATTCAGAAAACGGGGATTTGGCATAAGGTCGATGAAGAATGAAGTAAAAAGAAAAAAAACACTCGGTCGAGGAAGTTGGTGAAACGAAAATGGCGACTGTTTTTCATACAGTCATGATTGTCTCTTTTCCACGTTAAAGTAAATGTGGTTGGTTATTTAAGGTAGTCCGTGGGGGTAGTCCGCAGGGTAGTCCACGGAGTGGGGGTCACTGGGTAGTCCGCGGGACGGGGCTCAGTCTTTTCAACTCTCCCCTCACTGAAATATAAATATAACATTCCTGATTGTTGATAAAACTGATAAGGAGCAAATTATATCAAGGGCAGGTTATTGGTCAGTACTTTTTATTACAGTAACTAAATCATCAAATCCTAATAGCTCATAACCCTTTGTCCAGTAAACAATAAAACTGGCTTTCGATTGCAGTTTGCCGGTCTTTGACATTAATGAATTTACTGCTATCTTGAACTCCCAAGGGAACTAACTGGGATTTGAAATAGTACATCCTAGTTATTAATTTGTCCCGTCCAGGATAACAAGGTGAGGTCACAGTGAGGTCAAGGATAAACACTGCAGTCTGAGACAGCCATTGTGGTATACCGACATTGTTGGTAAAACTCTTTGACCTCATCAACTCATAAAAGCTAGACTTGAGTTGTTCAGTGGAATGTAACAACTTTCTAATAAGTTTCAGAGCTTCTACTTGCTTGCGTCATTTATCAGAGATTCTGATCTCCTCATAATTTACTCTCAGTAGTATTTCTTTGGGAAGAAAATGTGAATACAGTCTCTTCATGAGCCAGATTTGTGACATTATTGTTCGTAGCTAGAGGAGGTTGGACATGCACTGAATTGTATTATAGGTAATGGACCAATAAGGAGCACGTATTTTCTCACAAGTCAATTTGGAAGGAATCGCTTCTTGAGGGAAGAAGACGTTTTTCGATGTGTGTTTTCTCGGCATGAATGTGTTTGACATTTGGTTGTCTGTTCAGAGCTCCCGCGAACACCATGAGAATTTGATATTTAAATAAAGACAGTAAATTTTTAAGCTTGGCAATGAAAAGTGAAAAGTAAACTAATCAACATGACACGAGCGTTGGACAACGAAAATCTGAGTCCTGACAGGAATCGATACCATGACCTCCCAAACACTCTGTGGGTGCTCTATAAACTGAGCTACGAGAAATCATGGAAAGCAAGGTCATTTAACTGAGTTTTTATGGGCGTTTACATAAAACTTTGTAATATTAAGCCATTTCTGGTCTTGTCCAATCCCCTCTGGCATGGAGGGGAGCTGGAATTAGGTTTCTAATTTTACGTTCTTAAATGAGAAATGCCATACAAATTTATTGCATCGTTCTTAAAAGTTCAGATGCATTATCATGATGGTCATTCCACTCAAAAAAGCATGTATTAAGTTATTTTTGTTAACTTTTTAAATGGTTTTATCCATTTTTCAGATACCATTATGCTCCTGTCCATCCTCAGCTACAGACACGCCTAATGAAAAAAACAGACAAGGAGAACTGATGAGACGCAGAAAGCGGAGCCTGCTTATCCGTCTCGTAATAGGTTTGGGCCTTGTGGGAACGTATGTGTACTTAAATTTACAGAACTTTGCTTACTATAACAGGTGGGGATCAGTTGTTTCTTGTCAGAACAGTGAATTAGAAATAAATCAGCTGCTGGAAGTTACATACAAAGTTTACAAAATACTAGACGACATGAAAATCCGGCATTAGTTGATGTATGGTTCCATTTGGGGAGCGCATCGTATCGGCAAACCGCTCCCATGGGACAATGATGTTGACATTGGATTTGATGGTGAAGGAATATTTGCAGATATGACCTTGGATGAATTTCTTGCTCCTTTTGTGGCAGCAGGTTTTAAAGCAAGTAACAAGTGGATACAGAAAGGAACCATGTAATTCACAAAGAGGGTTTGTGGTTGTCTGTCGATCTGTTTGCATTCTACAATCATGGAGGTACTATGACGAGGACGGGAATAGAGTCATGGGCCTTTGCTCTCAATTACAGGATATATCACTCATTTCCTGCATGGCTGGTGGAACCAGAACTACCTCAAGTGAAATTTGGATTCTTCAATATCTCCATTCCTAAAGGCGGTATTGAGATTTTGAAGCACTTGTACCCTTTTAACTGGTGGAAAGAAGTGCGTCCTCGTGGGTGCTGAGCTTGATATAAAAAAAGAAATGGTTTTCAGTAATAAGTTATTGCTGAGGGTAATAGAATTTTATACAAGATGTTTACAGCCCTGCCAACTCTCACGGTTCTGCCGTGAGTATCACGATTTTTTTGTTGCGATTCGTGGTTTACAAATTCTTTTCGTGTTCTACCAACATCCCGCGTGGTTTATCTGCTTATAACCCATAGAAACTTGTGGTCTATTGCTTAAATATTTACGAGGAATGCTAGTGCCATGAAGTGATAAACTAATAAAGAAAAACACTTTACTGTACTTACTACTTTTTTGTTCCGAGCTGGAATGCAGAAAGGTGCTAACTTAAACGCATCTTTGCTATTTTTGTATCATACTTTTTGATTGACTCAATCAGCAAAATATACCAAAACTTCAGGTAGCTGTATATTTATTTTTGCTAAACTGATCAACTATCTTTATTTTAAGAAAACCTCTTCTGAGTCTAAATATCACAGTAATCATGTATGGGAAGTTTGAAAAATTGGAAGGTTTTACTGTCTTTGTTTACGACTGTTGTGATGAAATGTTTTAACACAAAGGAAACTACCTTTCAAAATAGAGTTTAAATACGTTTTATTTCATAAGCCAGCTTTCCATCGATTGATAAATTCTCCGTTTGAAAAAAACAAACAACCGTTTTAATGTGGGGAAAGCGTATTGCCGCAGAACAACAGAAAATACAACAGTTCTTATCTGGATTATTACTTAAAGATATTTTATTGCACTGCATATAAATTTACATAAAAAATTCTTAAAGATCTTAAAACAATTATGGCTTACATTTTCTAGGAGGGATTTCCGTGTCTTTTACATGAAACTGATCATAGTATTAATTATCATAGTATTAATTAGTATACAGTTCGTAAGATAGCCCATTTCTTTTTAGTGCAGAGTGCACTATTGGGATGGCTTGCATTGGGGGATGACGACGCTAAAGCACTATGGCAATAAGGTGTAAACTTTAATGTTTGCTTAAGGTGGCTCCCTAGAGTATTTACTAATAACCCTAGCTATGAAGCATACGTTACAGAAGCAAATCTAGTTACTTTGTCTTTGCGATTTTGTTCACGAGATTCACCGCTAAGGTTACGCATATAAGAAGGCTCCTTTATCAAGTCTCATTTTCTGGATAAAGGCCGTTACCATGGAAACATCGCATCCTTAAACAGGCAGTAATTTTGTCATTTTTGCCCATTTTTCCTTAATATTTCTAATTTACCGCGGTGAAATGTCTTTAAACTTTCTCAAAGTTAAACTTTGAAGCAGGCATCACTTAGGGCTGTGATGTAGTAAGCTTCGGAAGAGTCAAATCAATCATTTTGGGGTGCATTTTACAACAGCAAAGATAGCTAAGATTCATACATAAAACCTCCAGCCTCTTGCTAAAAGGGAAAAGGTCAGGCTAATATGTCAAGCCCTAATTCAAAACTTAACTGCAGTCAGATTTTTCACAGGGACTTTAAGATTTCTCTACTTTACATTATCTCTGGTCTCTGAAGACAGAATTAGGCAAATGAATTATATGGATAAGCTGAGAGAAAAATGTTCTAAAAATTCTCAAAGTTAAACTTTGAAGCAGGCATCACTTAGGGCTATGATGTAGTAAGCTTCGGGAGAGTCAAATCAATCATTTTGGGGTGCATTTTACAACAGCAAGGATAGCTAAGATTCATACATAAAACCTCCAGCCTCTTGCTAGAAGGGAAAAGGTCAGGCTAATATGTCAAGCCCTAATTCAAAACTTAACTGAAGTCAGATATTTCACAGGGACTTTAAGATTTCTCTACTTTACATTATCTCTGGTCTCTGAAGACAGAATTAGGCAAATGAATTATATGGATAAGCTGAGAGAAAAATGTTCTAAAAATTCTCAAAGATAAACTTTGAAGCAGGCATCACTTGGGGCTGTGATGTAGTAAGTTAACTGAAGTCAGATTTTTCACAGGGACTTTAAAATTTCTCCGCTTTACATTATCTCTGTACTCTATTCCATACGAGCTTCCTGGTTTGCTCTAATAGATTTGCACCCATGGAGTTGCCCAGGGAGGGGGGGGGGGGTTAGAGTTCTGAGAGCTAGTGGCAGACAAAATATACGGAATCAATTCAGTGGTACACTCTTTTATTTAATGGTTTTTGTGTGTATTTTTTTCTTTTTACAGGACAAAGCTCGTGGCAAAGATGCCGATCCCACAAGTCCTCACGCGCGTGTCTTTTTTGCTGGCCGCCCATGACCATTTGCGGGCATAACGTTGATACCTTGCGGACGCGCAAGCAATCAAATCAAGATTTTTTCCACATACAATCTACCGGAAATACCGACCATTCTCTCTTCTCCAGTCTTCTTTTATATTATGCGGGGAGTCCTAAGGTGCCCTCATCGAGTTTTTGGCCCTCTGGGCCCAAAAATCCATGCGGAGGCAATTATAGTTAGAAATTTTTAAATTCTTAATTCTTAAGAGGGAGGGCAAGATTGGCTAAAATACCAAGGGTGACTCAGAGGGGTGGGGTGATATTGAATTTGTTCCAACAAAGCACTAGTGCAAAGAATTTGTGTGGTAGCTAGTGTGCTCGAGTAAAAAAAATGCAAGTATGTTCTTTTAACTCAGGACAGATATCTTGGATGTTGTTTTTTTTTCACTCGACCGCAGACATTACCTCGGCTCGACTTCAACATATTCAGTCTGTCTTTCAACCGGGAGGTATTCCAGATGATTAGCGCTTCTTTAGATTACAGTAGGTCAGAAATACATTCCATCAGCTGAGATATCTGTCTTATTTGGAGAGAACATACCTGCAAAGTGTAGGCATTCAGCCATTGCCGATTAACCCTGTTTGGACACTATGCGTGCCCTAATAATCTGCGGATTGGATGCAGTGAGGTTGCCAAGTTTTTCAGTTCTAACGGAAGCCATGACTGGCTAAAATACCGGGGGTAACTTGGAGAGAGAGGGGGGGGGGTGGTGATAATAATTTTTAACTTACGACAGATGTACAGAAATAATCATGATAATTTAAAATGTCTATGAAGTAAAAAATAATTGCAGCTTATTTGAAAGGACTTTCAAAGTATATAAGAATGGCGTTTTTCTTTTTAGAATATCTTTTTTCGTTGTGTATCATCAGATCAACTCAAGTGTTTTAAAAACCACTGTTCTGCGATAGAGTTTATTCTACGTTCACCCGGACGATCAAACTCAACCTACTTTTGAAATGGCTCCTGGGTTCAAACCTTTCACAGAGTTTATTCTGTTTGTTACTCATTCATTTCAACCTGTAGTTACTGGAATTGAAATTCTTTAGATGCAATCATTTAAAATGGATCTCAGATTAATAGTACAGTGAACAATGGACGTCGACATCGTTTTCTTAACATCTGTTGAGAATATATATACCTGACAGTGTTACAATTTCTGTCTCTAAGATAAATGTAGAAGTTAATGAACTAAGTCATGGAAAATTAACTCATTTGGCTGAAGGTAAGATATCTTTAGAGTATTAGAGGCCAAATTATTACCTTTTTCTTAGAGTATATTTTATTCCCTTTTAAACGAGCTATAGCTTACTCTGCTGCTGTAAATATGTGCAGAAATATTCATTTTTTTAGTAAGTTTAATGCTATACAATGGTGATCCTATGCGGACAGGAATGAGTTAAGGAACAATGGCAAAACAGGATTTTTAATGTGGATTCCAAGTTGCATCAATTTCTGAAAAGAAGAAAGAATTACTTTGGAACTTCAAAGAAAAATAGAAATTAAAAAAATATCATTAACCTGGTCGGAATGGTTGACTCCCGTTTTTAATGCATGAATAAGGTAGTTCTCGTATAATGCAGCGTAGACTCTCCTGTCCCTCAGCACAAAGGAAACCAAGATGGCTCTCCGTAATGGTAAGAGCGCATGTCTTGACGATCTCAAGGATAAACAGAGGTCAGGCTATTCAAATGGACAGAAAAAAAGAAATGCTGATTAAGGCTGAAGGAACTATATATTTGCCAATATTTCGAAAGGCACTGCTTTTCTACTCCACGGTCTTACAAATGACTATGGGTAAGCGGTTTGGATAGTTCCTTCACCATTTAATCAGCATTTCTTTTCTTTCTTTTTTTTTCTGTCTATTTACATTTACATAGCGGATTAGATCCTCTGTTAGGATCCGGTGCTTGTACTTTGTTACGTTGGTCCTTGCTTACACACGCTATAATACAAACAATGTCTTGTTGGGTAGCATATAGATGGAGTACGTGGCTACTCTGTTTAATCAGGAAACTACTTATCATAAATACACTGAGATACAAATTGTTGATGATGGGTGTGGAAGCCTTTGTTTGCTGGACCTTGCGCCGCCTACGTTTCTCTGGGCATTGGGCTCTCATATGCCGAATAGACGGCTCAAGTGCAGTGTAAAATGGTCAATACATGTGCATTGTTCGTTCTTTTGTCTCAAGTTCTATTGTCTCAGGTGGCATCATTGTTTTTCTTTGTTTTATTCTTTATGACGTAACTGGTGCCGTTTTACACTGCACATAAACCGAATAGACCTTTTAGCTTGTACATTTTGTTTTCCCAATTCAGACCACGTGACGTTACCCTAGAGAACTGCTTCTTTCAAGTATCGCCTTATTCACGTGCGCACGTGCGGCACGATTTTTGAAAGGCCAAAAACAATTTCCCTTGAGAGCATCACGTGGTCTGAATTGGGTAAACAAAACCTACAAGCTAAAAAGGTATATTGTCAGAACTGAAACAAAGTAACCAAAAAAGTCAGTGAATGATGTTAAACCTGAGATCATCTAACAGTGTAAGTGTTCGGCCTCGGGGTAATGCGAGCGAGCGTACCAAAACTAGATCCTATTTTGGTCCTGCTTGATTTACGGAGGTAATCGACGACATTTCTAACACCCAAAATATTAATCCTTCTCTTATTAACAAAACGTAGAAAACGTACATACAAACAGGCTTGCTAGTAAAAACA